GAAGATTGGTGCGCAAAAACCCGTAAAACCAAAAAACTACACGTGTTAAGGGATGTGCGTTATCTAGGGAGATCGTATATCCTTGAATTCCTGTAGATCTGTGGGAGAGGATGAAGGAGATCAACTGTCCTTTTCTCTAGTGATAATTCATATGGCAGAGGCTACAAAGACGCTTCTCAAATCGGTGCTCAAATCTTCTCGCTGCACGCACCACATAACTAAGAAGGGGCCGACCTTTCTTGTTATTCACACGCCCCAAATAGGGGCTGCAGGTTGACGAGGAGAGGGGGAGAGGAGAATAGGAGGTGGCAGCCAAAAGGGTCTTGCCTATGGCCCTTTGGTTCCCTCCTATTTATAGAGGTCTCCTATCAACTTAACTCTAATGGATCCTGCCCTATTGAGTATTGGATTTCCATCCAACTACCCAAGCCTCTTAGATTAGTGAGTCTCTACCTAATAATCTATCATTGACTCTTATTGGATCTCATCTATGGGATCCAATAATTCAGGGGCTCCAACGGATATCTCATATCCAAACTTCTACTCGTCGCAACACCTACCATATGTGTGTGACTCTCTAGGCCTAATATCAAGTTGGCCGTGAGTCATACATATTAGAACTTCTTCTGGCTCAGTGAATTATTATCTCCATAATTCACTTGACTCATCGACTACGGGCGTACTAGGTCATTACGCCGCAGTCCCAGACGATACAGGGGAATCCAATCCATTGGACTTATCTGTCGTTAGTTACTGTGTATCTGTAGTCCCTCATCCATCTAATATCCTAGAGATCGTATACCGGACATGGTGCTGTCAGTCTCATATGGTTTCGACTTGAGTCTAGCTCTAATCGGATTCTCTCAGAGAACTCTTTCTCTCTTAATCCAAATGACCCTAGCTAGGGATTTGCTTGAGCAAAAACACATGAGATATTCCTCTCATGATACTGAGAGTGGATGATCCTCTATTGACACTCAATAGCCCTCGTAAGGTTGACTGCCACTTCAATGACCGGTTGTG